CAATAACAGATAATTCAAAATAAATTACTGCTTAGTTTGCAAATGCACAAAATGTAGGCATTTCAACACAGTAAAATTCTGTCAACATTCACAAATGCTTCTGAATAATGAAGAATACTTATTATAAAGTTAAATAAGGAAATATGATTTAAAAAGCCATACAGAAGAAAAGAAATAGGATATTTTCAAAATCAAATTAGATCCACATCAGAAACCACAGTAAAATGTATTTAAAAGTTATAAAACAAATATGCATCATAATGGTGATTTGAAGTTGGATACTTCATACACAAATTAGCAATGCAAGAATTGAAAGATGGTAACAAAAGTTATAGAAAAAGGAAAATGTATAAAAAATACTAAATGCTTTTTTCTCCCCCTAAATATTAATAATATCAAATCTATTTTAAGAGTAAATATAATAAAATGTTAGCTGTGGTGTGACATTACAGATAAAATTTTAAAACACATTAACTTTGATATTGCTAATTGTAGTAGAATCCATTATATCTACTTATTGATACAATTAGTTTTAAGAAAATTTTATTATTTTTTTCATAAATTACTCTATTTTAAGATCTTGATTTTCACTAATACAAAAAAGTTTAGGCCCTTTTACAATAATTTTATGCCTGACAGCTGTATTTGTAATACCTTGGCCGTCTAGAAATATGAGAAACCTGGATAATCAAACACTTATTGTTTCATTTGAAATGGTCAAATGGACATTTACTTTGCAAATATGCTGCAGATTTTATGAAGGGAGGAACAGTAAATATGCTCATATCACAAGATAAGACATAAATTTTAGCTCTTTTGGAAGTCTGCAATTGAAACCCAATCTATACAGGTTTTTTGGTACATTACAGTTGATACAGTGAGATTTAAAACAACAACAATAGCAAAAAACAAACAAAAACCTCATGGAAACCACATAAGATAGCATAACTTCAGTTCTAACTTTCGGGAAATTTTCTGTACTGTATGAATAATGAAGGCTATAAAATTAGTTGACACTGTGACAACAAATCACATTATAATTCCTGAAAACCCTTAAATACAAAGATACATTGACTTCACTTCCTTACAGACCCACTGTGGTGCATATGCTAAGGTATATCAAAGTGATTATCTTCGGGATGAGGCCTTACCAAGAAAGAAATACTGCAGCTCTGGAAAAAGGATATGGATGATAGGCAACAAAAGAAAGTTGATAGAGAAGAGAGGATTCCATGTAATTTGTTGCTACAATTCTTTTTAGTGATTTGCCTAAATTTCCACTTCCTTTGGCACCCTTTACTTTGTCCACTCCAAACCCTCCATGTCTTCCTCTACATCTACCTCTTCCAATGTGCAACCCCAACCTCACACACATAAATCCTTAAGTCATGAAAATGGTAAATTCAAGATACAATATGAAAAATATTCTGGAAATACAATGTTTAAAAAGAAAGTCAAGCTTCCTGCCCTCATGGAGCTTACATTCTACTAGGAAAAATTAACATTAAATATATAATCACTCATATAAATATATAATTACAATTAAAATGACTGCTATAAAGGAAAATACAAGTCTCCAATTAAAGCAACAACATAAATTCATTATTAACATTAATTATTCATAGCTCCTGAGCTATTAACCAGCCACGATGGCTGGATTTGCAGTGTAACTTACTTTTTTGGTATTTTGATTGAAATGGTCATTCGTTTCTCTCAGACAACCATTAGAGTAAAGTATGAGTAAATAATTACTGAAATGAAACAATCAGTTAAACAATTATGGAAAAAATAAAAACAGAAACAAAAAAACAACTCAATTCCCAGGCAAATAAACAAACCTAAATTCTAAGGAGAATAAATTCTATGGAGAATAAAGTCAGCATTGTCAATGGTCCTAAGAATACTAATGACAAATTTCAAGCTTAAAAAAGAAAGCAAACACAATTTTCACAAAACCCATTTGGATCTATCTAACCACAACTAGCAGAAGCAAGGCTGGCTCTAGATAACACCTTTCTTCAGCTATCCCAAAGAAAGCTGTGTTGAAACCAAGTTTATTCCTAACTGCATCCAGTTAAAGGTGTATTTGAAAACAAATACAAATAATTAACTCTAAAGTTTGAAGTAGAATGACCAATTGAAAATATGAGGCAAGATGGCCTATGGGAAGGGTGAGAAAGCTTCCATTTCATTCATTATGATTCTGCCAGCACATAGCAATGATCCTTAACACGTCTCCTTAACATGGCTTAGCTGTTCTTGTCATGTACACATCATAAGGGATTCTGCAGTTTCTAAACCCTGAAAAATTAATTAGGGAGTATGAAAGGGCCCACACCAACTATGTAAGGATACATCACAAAGTGGTATCAGTGCTTACCTCTAGGGAGAAGACTGAGGAGGATGAAGGAGGTTAACAGGAATAATGTTCTCTTTAGATGAGTTTTTTGTGTGTGCTTTTTTGTTTGTTTGTTTGTTTTTAAGAAATAGCATTCATCTATCACTGGGCATTTAAAAATTTAGAAAATATTTTAAAATCCATACAGAAAAAATCAAAATGATAATGTTCTTGAATCCAGTTTTGCCTCTGGACTCAAGAAAAAAAAAAAAGAAAGAAAGAAAGACATTAACGCACAGATGTTCATTCCAGAGTCCCTGAATTCACTCCTGCTAAAGAAGGCAACAGTGTCAAGAAAAATGCTCCAGGATTATACTGTGGTGAAAAGATTTGGGAAGCATTAATTTACAATGCAAATAAATTATTTCAGAGTGGACAGGTTTAACACCTATTTTATGCACAACTAGGATTTAACTTGATATTGAAGCTACAGTGGAAAGTTTCTAGGTATTTTTTGATTCCTTCGACATGTGGCACAGGACAAGGAGGGCTACCTAAGGGAAGCCCCTGATTCATGTTCTCTTTATCTTTTCTGAATGTTAATCACATTTTTTTTTTACCATTTTCAGCACTTCTATTCTGTCATTTATACTAACTTATCCACATGTTTTCATTTCCCTAATAAACTGAAACTCTTTGAATGTGCATACCATGTCATAGTCAAGATTGTATTTTTGCTCTAGAATACAGATTTGTTGAACTGATTTACAATTAAAGAAGACTTACAAATCATGTTTCTCATTTCTATACATCTAATTAACCAACATGTAAAGGTTACCACTCTGATTTGCAAAATATTCAAATCTATCTTAAAATCTTCTTTCCCCATTTAACAACAAAAATCATCCTGGTTCCATTAACAGAAGAAAAATGTAAAGGAACAACCAAATTCCTGCACTCTGTAGTTTTGTGCTGACTGAGGAATAAACTTCAATGAAAACTGGTGAAGTAAAGTATGTTTGACACACATGCCAACAGAAAACATTTAAGACTGACATAATAAAACTGAATGAAATTAAGTGACACTTAGCATTAATTACATCAAAACAAATATCAGCTGAGTATAAACATGAATTATTGTGTATGTAGAGTTAAATGGTTATAGAATTAAAAGATTATTTTTGAGTTACTTTTTTACAACATAACGTATATGTGTATGTATATTTAGGAAGTTTGTGTATATACATGCATTCATACATATACAAACACATATGCATATAGGTCACTCAGCCAGTAAAATAAAATATAAATACAGTTCCCTCTATGACATCCTGAATCCTCTAAGAAGGAACATGGTAGGAAATGCCCACTGAGAAAGGGAAGTAGATGAGAATTCGACATAAAAAGTTTAGAAAACTTCCCAAATGGTACATGAAATCTCTAAAACAATTGATAAATACTGCCATTTGTGTAGTTGCTAGAAGGCTTAAAACAATATTAAATTATAATATTGGAAATGGTTGACCAAAACACAAACTGCAATAGCATATGTTCTCTTTTTATTGGCTCAAAATACCCAAGCAACATTTGTTTCTAAAGCTCAATTTTACACATTTAAAACTGATATCATTTCTTACTTATTGCCTGGCTCATGTTCAGGTGCTTTTTCAAGCAGAAAATTTTCCCTGCTAGATGACACAAACGTAAAGGTGAAGAACTGTGAGCTTTTGTCCTAATTCAGATTTAGACTCAGAGCACAAGAAAATTCAGAGAATTTAAGGATAAGACACATTCCTGCATTAAAAATAAAAACAAAACCCATGAAAACCAAAAACAAAACAAACAAAAACAAAAACTAGAGACGAAGGGCACATTCAGTAATACATAGTTAAAAATGGTTAATTTAAAGGCTATGATACATATTTACCACATCTACGTATCATCCACTTCCTGTTAATGAAAACACTAAACACAATGTGGATGGCTCTAAATGGCAAATTAAGCATGCTTTTAAATCTAGCATCAATGCTGTCAAGGAGTACACATGCCTGACTTACCAAGTGATGCAGAAATGTACACCTGGTCGATAACGTTCTTAAAACAAAGTTAGTATGTGCAAAAGAAAGAACAGGCATGTCTTGTCTCTTTGTCTCTTTCACAGTACTGCCTTTTCAAGTTATTGTCGAATTAATGTGTATATAGACATCTAGCAGGCAACAAGGTGATGAGCGCACCACAGTACCATTTCAATGCTGCACATGCTTAGACATCCCAAAGCAAAATGGCTGGGGCAGGTGTGCTCCCGAGTTAAATGTTTGAGGATGACATATTTATGGTGACTACACTCATCATTTAACTACCATTAAATGATACTGCAAAAAAAAAAAAAAAAAAAGATCCTGAAACCTGTAGCTAATTTCTAAATATACTAATTATATAAGCAGCCGACGTGGAAAAAAAAATCACCCTAAAGAGCAAGAAAAAAAAGAGTGAAACATTTTGATGGATTTTTCTTACCTTCAATTAATAAAATATTCATTAACACTCATACCTACCTCCCAGTGCCCATTACTAATGCAAAAAGGTCTAAATACATTTTCATAATGTGTATACACTGTAATTCATACAGATGATATTAAGAAGAAATAAAATAATGTAATACCTTTACTTTTACCTATGGATTTGATGAAATGGTTCCATGAAGAAAGGGTTTCCATACAAAGAGAATAAAAAGAGAAACAACAATAAGAATTATGAATATATGTAAATGCACCATCTTTGAAAATTAAACAAGAAAGTATAAATAAGGGTTTGAAAACACATGGAGATATAATCAGCACATGTTGAGAAATCTGCCTTCTTTTTTAAGGCAACATGCAAAAGAACTGAAACACCCATGCTCACTTTAAAAGATTACACAAAAAAGAAGATACACAATGACTGTAGTATACGTAGAAAAAGTATTGATTCTGTGAAACACTATACTCAGCATTCTAGAAGCCAGAAGCCAAAGATGTCTGCATGTTCCCAAACTGCCATGCATGGGTGAAAAATGGACTCTTTTTGGTACAGTACATTAAACTGAATATGATATTAACTTCTGATGGTTCTCGGTTTTTCTTTACTATAGCGACCCTTAACTGCATATGCTTATAATTGTATGGAAACTTTCAATCACAAATTCTTATGTCTCATTTATCTGCAGATATTATAGTGCAAAGAATGAAGGAAAACAGAAGTCAAAGGAGCAAACCAAAATCAAACCAACAAATAAAGGGGAGAAAAACATGAAAAAATGTGAACAAAATTATGTATTATTTTGCAGCCAGATAATTTGCAAGCATTTGCCCATCCTTTGCAGTGATGGTTTAAAGCAGCTACAGAATAAGAAAACACTGAAAGCAGAGTGGAAAAGGAACAGAGCCCATACCTTGGTCGCCCATCATCAGGTGCGCCAGACCTTGAAGGGAAACAAGAGCACAGTCAGCAATAAACAAGGGAGCATGGGAAGGCAGGGTCGTCACGGTGACAAAAATGTTCAGTGACAGACATCTTGTTTCCTATGAGACATGTCTGTATCACAGAGGCAAATCTAAAAGCATTCTTTCAACCCCTGGTTGGAATGCTTTGGGGCAAAGAGTTACAGTACTGCAATTTAAACATTGGCATATGTTGCCCTGTGTATTTCTTCGATGTATCAGTTGGAACAATCAAGAGCATAAAAGCATGACTTAAAATCCAACCAATCCCTTAAATATTGCATCTGCCCTTTGTGCCCTTTGATGAGACTGTTTGGAACACTGCCACCACAGGGCTTCTTATTCTTTGGTGATGAAATTATATTTTTAAAAACCCAAAGAAATATCTGAAACATGGGCTGGGTCTGATCTTTTTCCCCTCATCAAAAAATGAGAATTTTTATAATTAAATTAAAAAAAATTCCTTAGTCACACTGAAATGATAATGCAGAAATGTCTCCTTGTCTGACACATGTAGCAATTGACTAAGCTTGTTCAAATACAAAAAAGACTATTAAACATGCAGCTGTAAAGTTGGAATTTACTACAGAATGATGCTTTTAGGAAACAATGGATCAGCTTTAAATAAGCTTAAGTAATTTTCCATGGAGAACAAAACTAGTCTTTTACTTAAACATTATCTAAATACTAAACTATGAGTTAATGTGAATATATATTTAATCATGTTTTATATTTTTATATAAATCATAATTTCATCAAGGAAGTTTTCAAAAATAATACTGAATTCCCTTTACTTAAATTATTTATCTGTTACTTGACAGTTTACTTCAGTTTGAAGATCACTCCTTTTCTAAAGAATACTGCTAATGTTCTTTTAAAAAACTCTCTCACTATCTCACTTTTTACTGAGAGGCATTAATTCCTAGTTCTTTATTTCATATTCGGAAACAAAGCGACTCCTCAATCCATGTCTATTTCAAGAATATGGGAAAATATCGGAGCGACATAGTAATACATACAGCAATTTCAATAGAATTTATATTTCACTTCCTAGTGTTATTTCAAATATATTTGAGACTTTATTGAGCTACATATTATACACCACTTACATCATACTGAAATCAATTTGCATTATTTCCTTAAAATTTTAGGAGTATTTAAACATCCCTGTGCAGCAGATACAATTACAAATCAACATATAATCAAAATATGAAAACTACTGAATACAGAAGTTTAATGTTTCTGTAATATAACTTTTTTTGTATTTTCAAACTGATTGTAACAAAAAAATCACAGAGGCAGTTAAAAAAGTTTATGATCTGTTGGTTATTCTGTGTAGGTTATATAATTTTTCATCCAATTTCATTTTAAAACTACTATACATATTTCCTGAAAATAGCTTATAATTTTTGAAGACTAAATCAGGGCATGATGTCTGCATAAGATCTAACTTTTAGAAAATATATAAAACACTTCAAATAGTGGTTTTGAATACCACCTCAGTAAGGATGGAAGTTAATAAATCTCAAAAGCATTCACATTCCTCATGCTAGACTTTCTTACCTCTAAGGGAGCTCCGCTATATTGCCAAAGTCAAGTTATAAATAGGAATGTTATAATTATGATTGAATAAACTTTATTACAATAGTTTATGGGCCTATACTCTGAAAATGTTGTCAAAATTTTTCATGGGATGCATGTGTGAGGAAAGAGGCACTCAGGCTTATTAGGCTGATTTTGAAGCTCCTGGAATGCAACTGGATTTAAAGAGAAAGAACAAAAACATGGAACATTTTACAGAATGGTTAAGGAAATGGAAAAGAAGTTGAAAAGATACTTATTAAAAAAATTCAATCTCAATTAACATGCATAATATAAATAATACTGATTTTGAAAGATGTCAGACCCTCAGGGTAATATCATCTTTATCAAGTGCATATTCACATGCTATTAAAATTATAGTATAGAAAAACAGAAGCCATATACAGAGCCAACATTTGGAAAAATAGTCACTGATGATTACTTTTGAAATCTTAATCTATTCTACTTAAATAATGGAATAGAAATGTTCAGCAACTAAGCAACTAATGTTCAGCATGTTATTTGTGAAAGTATCACAAATAATATGCTGATGGCTGCTATTGACCCAACTTTGTATTACCATGAGTTGCTCTTTGAGACATCAAATCTTACTAACTTTAACAGCTATCTGTAACCTCAGATAGGAAGTCTTTTTCTAAGACACATCATTCTGTAGAAATGTTCATTATTTTTACAGAATGGCTCTATTTCAAAACAGTGCAGCAAAATAAAATGCATTAAAATTATGTTAAAATATGTTAAAATAAAAATGTTAAACACTTCTCAAATATAGACATTAGTTAAATGTTTATGCAAGAATTGTTAATGCTGTGATTATATAAGTTGATGGAGGATCAACTTCCCTCTCACAATTCTTTGGTCTATCTAGAGATAGATTTGTTTGGCAGCACAATGACTTATACATTTAAGTTCTTTAAAGATAAGAATGTTGAAATATACTTTAGTTTGTTGGATTCTATAGGAAAAATGTGTAACTTTCTCTAAGTGGCTTGACCGAGATAATTTTGAAAAAGAAACTCTAATAAGTATAATAGTTTTATTTAACAGACACAGAATATGACAAATATACTTACCAGTAATTATGCTGGAGTGCTGTACACTTTCATTTCCAATGGCCAGTGGCTTATTTTTTAATCTAAATTTATGCCTCTTATAGTCAATGCTTTATTCTGTGTTCTTTATGTAAGTCAAATCATTTGAAATTAAACTAATGAGCTTGAGGTGATGTAATGCTAAACATTTCCAAAAGAAAATAAATCATTTTGATCAAGAAAAAAATGGAAAAAAGATCATGCACTGTGTTCTGAAACTGCAAAGAAATACTTTCTCATTTAAAATAAAAGAAGCAGGATTGTATCATTTTTTCCATATAGAACACTGCAATAAGTATTTTAAGTTTTACATGGGATGCTGGAATCCATCGAGGACTGGAGTTAAGGCTGAAGGAGTTTCATGTACTTAGGGGCTAATGGGTTTGAGAGTGCATGTTCTATTATGAAAAGTGATACACAATCCAGAAATCAACAAGTGCTCAGTTCAACTTACCGTCTAAATTTGAGATGTACTCTATTAATACTAAGAAATAAAAGGCAAATGAGAGTTGGAAAATAAAGTTGAAAGCACCCACCTTCCACATTGTTGTCTTCTGAAAGCACATGACAAGGAGGGAGAGAAAAGGAAAAACATTCATTAAGCAGCATGCAGACTGGACCTTTGCCTTTGCATGTCTTCCTCATGCAAGGCACCAAACACATCATGCAAGTGCTCCATCACTACCGTTCAAAGGGGAAAACAAAATCATGGGAAGCAGGTTCCCACCTACTGGCAGCATTTAAAGAATGTGAGACAAAATTTTGATAATACTGCCATGTCCTGAGCAAGGAAATGTAAAAAGTCTTTCACTGTCCTGTGTAAAATAAACATTCTTACATGATGTGGCTTTCCTAGGCAATTATTTTTAAAGCCTTATTTCTTTATTTATCTATTTACAATTCCAAAAAATTCTATTCCTAAACACTGATTTGGACTTGGATAAGATAAAGTTCCTTGCCAAGAGCCATGAAATTTCACTTAAAAGATACTTCACTTGTACAAAATATGTAATCCATTTACCATCATGGCCTTTAAGTATTCCTAATACTTCAATTTCTTTCCTTAAACACAACATAAACCTATGTAACTGAAATTTATAATATGGCTTATTTATAGTGTGTTCATATTTCATTGCAAATAATGGTAGTTTATTGTAATTTGTTAAAAAGGCTAATTTTCAAAACTGTTAACTAGAAAAAGTAATCCTTGCAAGGGAAGTCCATTTGGGAGCTGTTCTTTAGGCAAAATTTATCATGATTTATTGACTTTGTACTTCTGTTTAAGGGTGGGAATTTGAATATAGTTAATATAAGGACAATACTTGGTAAACCTTCCTTTATGTTTCATATAACCTACATAATGTTTACATATTTTCATATATTTGTGTGTATTTCCATATGTGCACATATATACGTGTATATATATATATATATATATATATATACACAAACACACACACATAATTCAAGCAGATTTTGCATGTATTTCCTATACATAAACAATGCAAGTGTATGGGATTTAAACTATTTTTAAGTAACTACTAGACAATTTATGTACTATTGATACACAGGGCTTAGCATCCAGGTAAGAAATGGAAGAGACAGCTGTTTTCCAGGACTAGACAATAGCAAGGTTTCAGTACGTATCAAATGTTTCCAATAATAAAACAGAGCCATGTTGACATTTCTAGTCCCATTCTTTTATTTAATCGGCTGTAATTTTAAAAGTGGTTATTTGATCAAAAGCGTTTATAAAGAACAAAACAACAGTTAAGTGTGGGAACTTGGAGAAAAACAACTTATAAATGTGCCCTGTAATAAGGTTCAACAAATAACTCTTTCTAATTGTTAAAGTTACTAATGAATTAAAAATCATCAATTTTGGGGCACCTGGGTGGCTCAGTTGGTTAAGCGACTGCCTTCAGCTCAGGTCATGATCCTGGAGTCCCAGGATCGAGTCCCACATCGGGCTCCCTGCTCAGCGGGGAGTCTGCTTCTCCCTCTGACCCTCTTCCCTCTCGTGCTCTCTATCTCTCATTCTCTCTCTCTCAAATAAATAAAATCTTTAAAAAATAAGTAAAATAAAAATCATCAATTTTGTTTAAAATCTATTAGCTGGAAACTGAAATATCAACATAGGCACATTTATTGATGGGGTCCTAACATATAACAGAAAATAGTAGATAAATGTGGACAATAGCATCTGGACAAAATACTTGGTTTGCCAGAGTTTATTTTAAAAGATATAACAACAAAAAAAGACAAATATTTGATATGTGATATTCATTTACTGATTGGTTTGGTTTCTAATCTGCTAAATAAGGAATTAAGACTGAATTTGCTACTTTTCAATGGCTACTCTGACATGACATGGACACAAATATTAAAGATTTATTTTACTACACTGGAAATTACACAAAGATACAGGTCATTTCAATGTTTAAGACACACTTTCATTTTATGTTAACCACCCTTTGAAATTCTATTCCCCATTTAAGATACTTGCTTAAAAAAATAAAATTGTTGGGGCGCCTGGGTGGCTCAGTTGGTTAAGCGACTGCCTTCGGCTCAGGTCATGATCCTGGAGTCCCAGAATCGAGTCCCGCATCGGGCTCCCTGCTCAGCAGGGAGTCTGCTTCTCCCTCTGACCCTCCCCCCTCTCATGCTCTCTCTCTCTCTATCTCATTCTCTCTCTCAAATAAATAAATAAAATCTTTAAAATAAAATAAAATGAAATTGTTTAATACATAGGAGAGAACAACAAAATTAGGGAGTTCAGAGGAGAGACAGCTGTCAAAATAGTCTATCATTTACTATGGCTCTAAATTTCTGTGAACAAAGACTGGCAAACATGATTGTGAGTAGCACAGTCTCAGGAAAATGGTTTTTTGGTAAAGTGCTGCATGAAAATCTAACAGTAAACGAAAAATGAAAAACAAAGGAAAACAGGCCCAGGCTCGACACCAACTTTATAAATGTGCTACGTAAGATAAGGAAAGGAAGTTGTGCTATAATAAAATCACGGTCATTGACTCTGATCCCCTGGGAGTTTTCTTCTTTCTCTGTTAACTAAGACACAAGGCCACAGGCAGCACCACTGATCCTGCCTTGCCATCCAGCATGTTTCTGAGTTTTTATTCAGAGAGAACCGGCTAACTAAAGGGACCCTTTGTATGTAAATCCAAGTCATGCCCAATGGGTAAACAAATCCTGACTTGACCAAGTTCAGAAAAATGGGCTGTCTCAGAAGATTTAGATTAAAAAAAAATAATAAATCAGGAGTGCTTGCCGGGCTCAGTCGGTAGAGTGTGAGACTCTTAACCTCAGGCTTGTGAGGAGTTCAAGCCCCATGTTGGGCATGAGCCTTACTTAAACAAATTTAAAAATTAAAAAAAGATTTTAATAAAGTACTAGAATAAAAGGAAGGGTAATATATTAACTCCCATATTTAAAAAAATAGAATAAAAGAAGAAACTGGCTTGGAACAGCCTATATTGACTTTCCATATATTTTTAGACTCAATCTTAGAGTTAAAAAAAAAAACCTTCTCTTTACTTGTATCTTTCTATTCTACCCCTTTGGTATCCATTTGTTTGCTTTAGTTCATTTAAAATCTGTTAACCTAGGGGCACCTGGGTGGCTCAGTCAGTTAAGCATCTGACTCAATTTTGGCTCAGGTCATGATCTCAGGGTCCTGGGATCAAGCTCCACATCTGCATTTAGCAGGGAGTCCGGATTCAGAGATTCTGGAGATTATCACTCTCCCTCTGCCCCTTCCCCCACTCATTCACTTGCATGCTCTCTAAAAAAAATAAATTTGAAAAAAAATTTAAAAATCTGGTTAATCTAAAGATGATCCCTACATTATTGCATATTTTGCACGTAAGTATAAATAGCAGGGAGTGTGCTGGAGATTCTCTCTCCCGCTCTCCCTTTAACCCTCCCCTCACCTGCTCGCTCACACACCCTCTCTCTCTCTCCTCTAAAAAAATAAATTTGAAAACATTTTTTTTAATTTGGTTAACCTAAAGATGATCCTTACATTACTTCATAATTTGGACATAATTATAAATGGTGGTAGCGCTATAATTTATAATCATTCTCCAGGTGTTTTTTTGTTTCTCTTTCCTTTCTACTTGGTTTTTGAAATAAAAGAATATTGAGTTTAAAAAGAACAGTTTTCCTCATAACATCAACTTTTGCTTTCTCTTTGTAGATCTTTTGCAATCAAATAGTATTTTGATTTTTAACAGCAACAGAGAGGGGGCAAAATTTGGCATGCCAGAGTGTAAAGGTAAAACAGTATATTTTGCTTTAGTGTAAGGTAAAAAGCAGTCCATCCAGCCTTACCTGTGGACATTGTCAAGTTAGGGAAAAGCTCTCGGTTTGCAGAAAACCCTGGCTTCTTAATTCTGCTGACTAATCCTGCTGTGTACATGAAGTGAGTCTTAGTAAGCAACTTTACTATGATGACCATGCCACCTATAAAGATCACACTCATTTGTTTTCATTGTGAAAATAAGGAATAAAAGCAAGAAAAAGATACCTTAAATTTTCTTTTTCTTTCAGATAAGACATGTTTCCCTCACAAAAATGAGAATAGGCACCAGAACATCAGTCATGTTATGAATAATTTGTGTGCTGTTGACATGAAGGGAAGCTGCACACTGTTAAACTATATATTCTTGAATTACTTTAAAAAAGCATCTCCACAAAAAAATTTTCCTTTGACCCCCCCCAGCTTATAAGAATGCAAGGACAGTAAGTTTAATTTATCATGAGTGTTCTTTGCATATAATTTTAATTACATACTTCTAGGAAAAGAAAAATGAGTAAGGAAGCAAATGCGTTTGCTTCAATATAAAGCAAATCAGGAATTTAATCATGACCAGTGGATAAATTAAAGTGTTATATAAAATATCACAGGTAACTCCTTTTTGAATAATCAACATTTAAGTTTAGCAATATTAAAGCCTTCACCTAAACCTGCAAGCAAGAGTAAACTTACATGCTTCATTTTATGTTCAAAATTGAGTGAAAGCAATCTGTCACCACTTGGCCGTTCCTTCTCTCTTTTGGCTTCCTTCCTTCTCTGCTAGTTGCTTGTGACCAGCAACTTTATTTTTCTTTGGCTCCCTCTCTCCTTCATCAAAACTGCCTCTCCTGCAGGTGACTTCACACCCAGATCTATGCATTCCAAAGTGGGGTACATAGTAACGAAACTGGTGGCAGTACAGGCCAGCAGAAAGAGGAATACAGAGGAAGATTTTATTTCCTTCTTACATACATTGAGCTTGCTGCCTTCTATCCTCGCCTTTCCAGCCCCTCACATTATTTTCAAGACTTTATCCCTCATTTGGAGGGTTAAATGCCAGTAGAGCAGAGTCTGGTTCCCATGGTGGCACAAGATGGAGCTTTGCTTTATTTTATTTTTCCTATGGTGTTAACAGTGAAAGCCTTTAGAAAGCCTCAATCATCTGGGAATGCTTCAAGAACTGGGAAATGGAGGAAAGCACTGAAACTGTGGATTTGTGCAACATATCAGCTGGAGGAA